AGACCAGCCCATGCTGGCTATCACCATCACTAGATGGTGGTCCTGGTTCATACAAACAGGCTTGCTAGGCATGAGTTGGGGGATGAGCCAGCAAGCAGAGATCTTCCAGGGTTTCTGCTTCAGTTCCTTCGCTATCGGTCCATAACTTATACATTGGCATAAACCCTTTCATCCCCATGCTAGTTAGTTTTGTCAATGTGGCACAAACTGGAGACACCTGGGAGGAAGGAACCTCAATTGAGGACTTGCCACCATCAAATTGGCTTATGGGCTTATCTATGGGGCATTTTTTGCTTGCTGATTGAGAGGCTAAGGGCTAGCTCACCATGGGTGGTGCCATCCCTAGCCAGATGGTTCTGAGTTGTGTAAGAGAAATTCAAACGTGAGCCTGGCAGCAGGCCAGCAAACAGTTTTCTCCATGGGCTCTGCCTTGGCCTCCCTTGGTGATAGATTGTGACCTGGGAGGTTTGAGATGTAGTTATTAACCCTTACTTCCCCACGGTGCTTTTGGTCAGTGTTTTATCACAGCAACAGAAACCATATTAACACACGCCTGTCATTGCTTTTGGTCAAAGTGTTTTATCACAGCAACAGAAAACAAACTAGGACAAAGTCTTAACATCTAAAATACGTAAGGGACCCCTACAGTTAAACAACAAAAACAAAACCTGATTTTTAAATGAGCAAAGAATGTAAACAAACTTTTCTACAGAGAAGATACATTGATGGCCAGAGTGTACACGAAAAGATGCTAACATCTGCTGGACAGTGGTGGCGCACACCTTTGATCCCAGCACGCCAAAGGCAGAGGTGGGTGGACCTCTGTGAGTTGGAGGCCAGCCTGGTCTACAGAGAGAGTTCCAGGACAGGCTCCAGAGCTACAAGGAGAAACCCTGTCTCAAAAAACAAACAAACAAACAAACAAACAAACAAAAAACCAGCAACAAAAAAGATACTAACATCACTAACCATTGGGGAAGAACAAACTGAAAATGCAGTGATATATCTGCTCGCACCTGCTAACACGGCCATTACTTAAAATTAAACACAAACAGAACCAGAAAATAACCAGTGCTGAAGATAATACAAAGAATTAACTCATAAGAGCAGAGGAGCAAGAAGCCTGCTGTGAGATTGTGTCTCCTAGATGCGTCATCCATGATACCTCAACAATATGACTTCTGAAAGAGGACCCGAAGAAGTACACTGGCTAACATGGAAGGGGAAATCTCATGGGGACCCCATGAGTAGACAGAGAACTGCAGTCAATAAAGACTGCAGAAAGAGGGAGGTCTTCTTCAGGGATGAGCCCCCTAATGGGTTATGCAATACCAACTGGTCAGACCAGAAACCATAGACACACAAGCAAAAGGAAGCAACAGACTGAGCGAGTTACATTCATATTTTTAGGAATACGTATGTGCCAATAATAATCAAAGAAAACGAGGCCATGAATTTGTGGGGGAGTGAGGGGAAAGACAGGGGAAGGGTTGGAAGGAATCTGGGAAGCATCGAAGGGGAGGAAAGGGAGGGAGGTAGATGATGTAAATATGTTTAATTAATTCTTTAATTAAAGTAAAAAGGAGGAAAGAAATTAAAACAGTCGGGGCTATGTAGAGAGACTCTGTCTCAAAAAAAAAAAACTTTAAAACAAAATCACCATTTGATCCCACTTTTGAGTATTTATCTGAGAGAATGGATAACTCCCCCAACGTGTATCCATAGCCGTGAGTACATTGCAGCACAGCTCCTAACAGTCACCAAGTGGAAACAACCTAAATGCTCACTGATGGGCAAATGGATAAAGAAATCAGTGCACAGATAAAGCAGAATATTAGTCTTGATAAGAGAGAAACTTGTGGGATGCTACAATATGGATGGACCTTGAGAACATTATGCTGAAGGATACTAACCAGTCAAAAGACAAATTCTGCAGGATCCAATTTGTCTGAGGTATGAAAATGGTCACATTTGTCCGAACAGAAGGCAGAGTGGTGCCTGCCAGAGGCTCAGCACAGGAAACAGGAAGTTGCTGTTCAAAGGGTGTGGAATTCCAGGCAAGATGCAAACATTCTACAGATCCCTGTGCAGCAAGACACGTAGTGTGGACAATGGAATGTTGAACTCTTACACATACATGAAAGACTTGATGCTGTGGCTTTTACCATGGCGGGGGGAGGGAGGGTTGCAGGGAAGGGTAGGGAGCCAACATCCTGAACAGCCATTTCACAAAAGATGTTATGCTGGGCCTGCTCCATTGGTATGATCTTAAACTGCCAACTTGACTGGGTTTAGGATAGTCTAGATGCTGGTGAGGCCCGGCTCTGGCTGTGTCTGTGAAGGACTAAACAGGAAAAGGCTAACACTGGAGTTCCCCTTCCTCTGCTTCCTGATGCACCACAAAATGAACTTCTCTGTTCCTCATGCCCTTCCCACTGTGATGGACCGACCCCTATGAAGTCAGGAGCCAAGATAGCCCTTTCCTCCTTCAATTTGTGTGTGTTGGGTAGCTTAATCACAGTGAGGGAAAAACAGCTAATGTAACTGGTCATCAAGCTAAAGCAAATAAATTAACAAGTAGCCATTGTTGCTCATCTACTAGATTTGGCTGGGAGAAATTTTTTTTTGTTTGGTTGGTTTTTTTAAGGCAGGGTTTCTCTGGATAGTTTTGGAGCCTGTCTGGCACTCGCTCTGTAGATCAGGCTGGCTTCGAACTCACAGAGATCTGACTACCTCTGCCTCCCGAGTGCTGGGATTAAAGGCGTGCACCACCACCACCACCCAGCAAGTATATATTTTTTAATGTGACAATAATCTGAATAGTTAAGAATGCTGAAAAATAGGAACTCTTGTACTCTGGTAGTATAATTGCTGTCTATGTCAGTTTGACATGATACAACAAAGTTATTTACGCAGAATTAATTAACAAAGTTAAGCACACCCATGCCCATATCTTTGCTAACTGGGATAAGCTTCTAATAGGTCTGCAGCAACAGTGTGTGAATCTAGATGAACACACTGTTCCTAGCTTTTCACAACTAACCAAACAGGTCTGGACCCCACAGGAATGCAAGAAATCTGGGGGAAATTATCTCCTCAAATTTGAGTGACAGGCCTGGTTCCCTGGAGGCCAAAGACAAAAATACTCTCATACACTCGGCACTTGCCATGCCTTGAGATTGGGTCTATTTGGGGCAATAAAATACAGGAGTCAGGAAGCATCATGGAGATAATGGGAAAGATAATGGAAAAGATAATAATAAATCAACTGGGAAATTTTGAGCAAGGAGGACTCCTATAAGGCTCTACAGTTGAACTTACTCATAGGTTAAGCAGTCATAGGTTAGGCAACAATGTGCTTGCTTCCCCCACAGTGGGCCAGCTCAGGCACTAGGAAAGACAAGGTGGGCTGACCCTGTAGCGGAAAGACAACTAGGGGCTCTTCCTAGACTGATATGGTAGTTGTGTCCATTTTCCTCTTCTGAGATTGCACAGACATCCTTCTCCCTCTGAGCAAACAGAACAAGGGTCAGCATGCTCCGTAAACATTCCCCGTAGACTTAGGGACGGTCTGTTTGACATCCAAAACCTGGTGAGGGAGATGTAACAGTCCCCATTTTGCAGATAAAGGCACAGACAGAAGTGTCAAGTGACATGCCACTCAGCCACCGTCAGGACCTGATTGAGCAAGAGCTGGATTATATTTAACCCAGAAAGCATATCTGGGGAGGAGGGGCTGATGGTTTTCATTTGTTTGATCTCGAGATGGCATCTCAAGTAGTCTAGGCTGGTCTCAAATTTGTTATCTAGTTAAGGATGACCTTGTATTTTTGATTCTCCTGCCTCCACCTCCCAAGTACCCAGATGACAGGTGAGTGCCATCATGGCTGGCTGCAGAGGCTGATGGTAATGACTTACCATACTACCACTCAAGACTATGGGACACATCTCCCCAGGAAGAGGGCATGAGAGGGAATGGGAGCCGGAAGTTGGGGAGAGAGCAGCAGCAGCAGGCAAAGGCAGAGACAGTGAGAATAAACAAGATGTCTCAGGGAGAAACTGAAGACAACATCAGTGTTTAGAAGCAGAGAGCAGGGTGAGGAAAGAGAGAAAGATCGGTCAGGGGCATTCAAGGAGAGAAAACAGGAAGAGAGAGGCTAGCTGTATCCACACTGGCAGGGTGTTCTCGCATCCAGGCATCCAGGAGGAGCGGCGGCCATGGGGCAGAGGAGGTATGGTAGCTTGGTGCTCTGAGGACATGATGTAGGAAAAACTCAAATGCTATTTTAAGTTAATTTCTTATGGGACTAGTTAGAAAAGGACTCTTGCATTTTAGGAAAACAAGCTATAGAACATGTCTGGTGAGACTAAGTCTGGATGTCATAAGAAGAGGCAAGAAATTATAATTAATTTTACGTTATTTTGATATCTATTAAACGGCTTACTGGAAAAAGATGTTTTAAAATGAGCTATTTGTCTGTGTTGCTAGTGGCATGACACCACATACTGGGTGAGTTAAGGAGGATGTAGATTTAATGTACCTCATGGTTCTGGGGGAGTTCAAAGTGCAGTCACTGAGCCTGGTGATGTCCCCCTTGCTGGCACCATTCTGGGGTGGCACAGAGAAGTTAAGCAGCTTTGAAAGTGTCTCACAGCTGTCGAGCGGAGGAGTGCATTGAGCCTGAGTTGTGAACGCCCACCGGTTGGCTGCAGTACGCGTGCCAGTCTGCGGAAAACCAAGCCATCTCGCCCTGGCACGCCTGGACTCTGCGTCCCGCGGCGGCGGTGCGCACAGCTGAGGGGAGTCTGATCCTGAGGCAGGCGTCGCTTCTCACAGGGCTGTAGAGCAATAAGAGCACCTCGGGGCTGGTCGCGACGCCAGACGCAAAAATCCTACAGCGAGAAGGGGCTCCAGCTCACGCTCCGCCGCAGGGGGGCGCCCTTGGCCGGCTGCTGCTAGGCTATCGGTCCCCGCCACAGGGCGCGTCGCCTGCAAGAAGATGTCGCTGTCCGGCGGGGAGCGCCCTGCGGGGCCAGGTACCCGCCTGTCCTGGCTGCTATGCTGCAGCGCCCTGCTGTCCCCAGCAGCCAGCTACGTGATCGTGAGCTCCGTGTCCTGGGCTGTCACTAACGAGGTAGACGAGGAGCTGGACAGCGCGTCCACCGAGGAGGCACTGCCCGCGCTGCTGGAGGACTCGGGCAGCATCTGGCAGCAGAGCTTCCCGGCCTCGGCTCACAAGGAGGACACGCACCTGCGGCCTCGGGGCTCCGCCCGCGCCAGGCCCGCACCAGCCCCGCGTGGAATGTTCTCCTATCGGCGGGAGAGCGGCTCATCCGCAGCATCCCCCGGCCCTAGGGTGCGTGCGGGCACCGCCCGCTCCTTAGTCCACGCCAGCTCCTGGGGCTGTCTGGCCACTGCATCCACCAACGAAAAGGTAAACCAGAGGTCGGGATGCGGGGATGGAGCGGGTCTGATCGTGGTCCGCAATTCTGGGGCGAGCCCAGAACCCAGGGCAACTCGGGTTTCACAGGTGCATAGACTGTAGATGCCTTGTGAATAACGGAACCCGGCTGGGCAGGAGTCGGTTTATCTAAGTGCACATGAGAGGGGAGAAAGGCGACCCTGGGAAACAATCTTGTGGTTAGTGACTGAATCCCTGTCTTAAGATGGCCAAAGAGATGGTCAAATAATGAGCGTCACATGGAGACCTGGAAAGCAGACAAGATCGCCTTTGGAATAGCAGATGAAGTGCATTCAGCCCCTGCAGGCTCTGAGCACTGTCCCGCAGGCAGACTCCCGCACCACCTCCCACACCAAGTGGGCGTGGGAGAAAAAGAACCATCCGCGCACTGGTAGAGATTTACACTTAAAAGAAAAATAATGGAACTCGAATTTTTGAGAAAGATGACTTAGGCAAAGCGTAACTGCTGGAAGGAGCTGTTTCAGCTGCAAGTTCTCTCTTTCAGTCCACAAAGCTTTATTCACACGTTAACCTGCTTCCACCCGGAATAGCATGGAGAGGTCATGCAGCTGCATATTCCGTAAGAATAGCCTCCAGAAAGCTCCTAGTCCTGTCTGTAGAGATGTGATCCGAGCTCCCGATTGAAATCTGTGCACCAAAGGACTGACATACTTCGGTTATCTATCTCACTGTGTGAGAGTGGGGTTCTTCCCTCAACTCTGGGTCTCACTAGCCAAAGCACCCTGTTTTCCCATCTATAAAATTAAAATTCAATAGGCAGAGCATGGAAGTTCTTTTTATTTTCATAAAAATTATCTAATGACAACTTCACCCTAATAATGACAATGATCTTGTCCTCTTTCCCAGCCAGTTCTGTATTCTCGGTGTCGGAAAGTCTTTACACTTCTAATACATACCTTAATAGAACACAGAGTTTAAATATGAAGCAAATCATCAGTAGAACGCTTGAGGATCTGAGTTATCCAACATCCAGAACCCATGTGTTTTGTTTGTTTGGCTGGTTGTTTTTTGTTGTTGTTTTGTTTTGTTTTGCTTTGCTTTGCTTTGTTTTTGCTTTTGTTTTTATTTTGCGCCAAGCATGGTATTGTGACTGTGTAATCACAGGTGGATATTTAGGGCTTGCTGGCAAGCTAGCCTATCCTACTTGGGGAGTCCCAGGCCACTGAGAGACCCTGTCTAAAAACAACCTAACAATAATGGACTTTGAGGAATGAGGCCAGGAGTTTGGCCCCTGACCCCCACATGTACACACCATGCAAGAGAACCACATGCACAGGAACACTAGAATGTATGAACACACACACACACACACACACACACACACACACACACACATACACCAAAGAAGAGAAATCCAGTGCCTGTCTGGCTTGGTTGCCCACCCCCCTAGTCCCAGCACCAACAAGGTGAAGGCAAGAGAATTTTGAGTTCAAAGCCAGCTCTGGCTATATAACCAGACCCTGCCTTACAAAAACATAAACAACCAAAGAAGAAAAACCATCTAGTGTCCTTTTATTGAAGATATTTTGATCTTCAACAGCTCTTTTGTTAGCTTCCATAGGCCTTCCCCTTCCAATATTGACTTCCAATCCAAATTCAGTAAATTCGGAAAACATTTGCATGAAGGGCTGAGTGGTTCATGATAGGCTGAAAATAGGATCTGTGGATGATGTAATATCGCCATTTGGAGAATTCATTAATCTTTCATGGTTCTAAATGATTTAACCCCTTCCTTTCACAACCTTGCACACTATGTCAAGTGCTGGGCAAACAATGGCAGCCTCACTAGTGGGGAGGGAGGAAGGGCTCTTTGTAAGCAAAGAAGCAGGTGCAACAGAGTTTGGGGAACACCAAGACTTACATGCTTTTGTTTCTGTTTAAAGTCACATAAATATGACATGAGACCCTCCCGCATCCACTAGATGAGCACAGGTAAAGATCAGTATATCTATCATGCTTCCGTGACTTCCATTTAGACTAAAATGATATGTAACATATCAATTTCCCATAGCTTGTTCAGTTGTATTCCAAAGGGTTGTTGATCACAATATAGCATACAACTAATAACAAAGAAATGTTGCCCTAACTGAAATAGTATAGAATATTCTTGACATCCAAAGATCAAGTAGTTCATTAAAATGAATGAAATTCCATCCCCAAAGTTTAAAAAGAACAGAGGTGATGATGAAGGCAGCAGGTGTTTAAGAGGAGCTTGTGGGAGAGGGTTAGCACTGTCTTCTTCCCCACAGGCCTCATTGTCCTCACCCTTCAATAAACTGAGTGCATTTGTTGTGTGGAGGCTGCTTCCAGAATCCTTCAGTTCCCAGACAGAATGCTCTTACCTGCCTCTCCCCCGAGAAAAATTTTGAAACCATCACTGGGTGAATTGCATGGATTGGGACCACCTAGCCTTAATGTACCTGTCAAATCCGCCGGTCCAAACAAAGTCCCTAGTGCTGTATTTCTTGCCCAGGAACACAAAGTTTGTCCCCAGCTTGTGTTACCCATAGCTCTGCCACCAAAAAAGCCTTTTTGTTGTTATTGTTGCATTTGTTAGATCCAAGGACTGCCCTTTGGGAGCTGCCTTGCCATCAGCGATGGCCCCTTCCACAACAGCACAGGGACTCCTTTCTTCTACATGACAGCCAAGGACCCTGTGGTGGCTGACCTGGTGAAGAACCCCATAGCCTCACTGATGCTGCCAGAATCCGAAGGAGACTTTTGCAGGTAGAGGGGGAGGGCGAAGGGGAAAGGGGGGTTGTTCTTACAGGTTTAAGCAGAGGTGGAAGGGGGTTGTACATTGTCACAGATGTGTACTGACATCTTTACTCTTAGAACTCTACCGCAGACCAAGAGAATGATTTGGAGCAAGCTACCTGACGTTTATTCATCTCTAAAGTGGGAGGGTCCCCGGGCTTGGACTTTCACTGGGGGCACGTGTCCAGTGAGCCTGTTATAAATTGAACTTTTTTTGTAAGTTGAAATGGGGGTACTAAACTTAACCTACCAAGCATCCCTGCTCAGCCTACTCCACCTTAACTTTTCTTAGAACATTGACCTTGACCTGCAGGTGGACAAAGTCATCTAACATAAAGCTTATTTTGTAATAAAACCTTGACAATGTGCTTTGTTGACTACCGTACTCAAAGGAAAAACAGAGGCTTTTCTGTATCTACAGCCTAGCAAAAGGGTAAAATTCATAACGCAGAGTTTTCTGAGTATATATCACTTTGAAGCCAACATGAAGATGAAAATTCATAAGCTGAACCATCAGAAGATGGTATTCATAATCATTTCTACCCTACAGAATGCTCATGAGCCTTGGAAATAGGTGCAAGGTGTCTTCTGTGAGACTTTTTTTTTTTTTTTTTGAGACATGGTCCTGTGTAGCCCATGCTGACCTTGAACCTACTCTGTGTATCCAAGGATGCATACACCACACTTGGTCAATGCTGAGCTGGGGATTGAACCCAGGGACTTATGGATGCTAGATGAGCACTCTACCAACTAAGCTACATCCCTAACCCAAGGTGCCTCATCTGACATCCAGGTGGGTGATCAAAGCTCTAATACTGTAAAGGGAAGAGCAGGTTGGGAGTTGAGGGGAGAGCCAGTAGTCTGTCTCTCTGGCATGTACAGGCTGGAGCATATTGCCTTTTCTATTCATTTATAGCCCCTCTCTCCCCAAGAGATGCGCGTAATACAAAGCCAGCATCCTTTAATATATTTTCTCAAAAACTCACTGAAAGAAAAGCCTTCTAAAGACATTTAAGCAAAACTAGAGCATCCATTCAGATATCTTTGTCTAAATTCAAAATGCAAAGCCCCCAAATCATTTGCTGTCCAGGAGACACTGTACCTCCTGTGAAGGTCCTCTCCCCACCCCAAAGATTAACAATTGTCACAGGGGAGGAGAGGGCAGAATAACCCCTGGCATCTACCATTTCATCTGCAAACACAGAGGTGATTAAGAGCGCTCTTCCCACTCTGAAGCTCCATTCTCTATGCACAGCCTAGAAAACAGCCAACCATCCTGTTTGTTCTTGTGGAAACCAATTAGAGCAATAATGAGGTATCAAATGCAGCCTGGGAGAGGCCTTGCCAACCCCACTCCCATCATCTGTCCTCAGCAATGAGAGATTCAAACTACAGGACTTCACTGTTCTCCACCAGGCTATGGCCAGCCAGAGAAATAGCGCTCCTTTGTCATGGAATAGTCTCCCTATTCTTAGTCAATAAATTCACTGCTACTAGAAATACATTCCCAGGAGAATTTCCTAACCAGAATGGTTCCCCTAATTCCAGGGTCCTAAACACAAGCATGCTATAATGTGTCGATCCCAGAACCCAGAGCACACCTGCTCTTGAAACAAGCCACAGAATTCAGTTCCAGGAGCAATTTGCAGTTGCACTTGGCTGCACAAGATTTGCCTACCAGCCGGCCTCGGGCAGACATGTGCAAGGACTGAAAATTGGAATGATGAGGAAGCAATCTCCATAGAAGCTGGGGGAGGGGCATGTCTCGGAGTGCCTTAATCCAGACACTTGCCTTTGCCTGCACACTTTTATGGTGTGTATGTGTGTATCTCCTTTGTTCAAGGCCACACAGAGAAACTGCAAACATCTGTGTACCACGCTGAGTAAGAAAGGAGACAACATCTGGCCAAAAGTGATGCTTCCAGAGTCAAGGGCACACCTGTGTCCTTGACCTATGGATGGAAAAAGCCACACCCACTGGTACCCTATACCTACAATCTTCTCCTGGAACTGTTTTCCAGAACTGCCTATCCCTAGCACTACTTCTGAAGTACTGAAACGTGGTATAAATTAAGCTTGCCTTAGAAAGGACCAAACTTCCAAGCAATGCTCTAAAGTGAAGCTATAGCTTCTAGTGAGCAACTCGAGCCCGGATGTGGGGTTCTCATTCAGCACTGTGTATGAAACTCCCAAAACCTAGAATGTTAGTAACATTGAGCACAAGGGCTGAATAAGTCAAAGCCTGCATCAAAAGACAGCCAGGTGCCAGAGTCCCCAAATAAGCCAGCATGGAGTTCCTGGGGCCATCTGACCAGAGAGAGGTACCTGGTAGAAGCAGCTACTAGAAACTGCATCCCAGACAAGCACCCTGGTAGAGTTTAGAAAGATCAGCAAACTGACTCCTGCCTGTTCCCAGGACCTAGAGATAGCACTGGTGAGAATGGCTCATGGTCAAGTGCTTCACAGCAATTCCCGCCCCTGGGCGGGGCTTCAGAAGCCTCCCATTGTCACGATGGTGATGATGTTGAAGGCACTGAGCCAGCCCTCTGTTAAAATTTTTCATGAAGAAAATTGACAGAACCCTCCCAGGCCCTGTATGGCCAGGCATTCGTTCCCTCTCAGAACAGATCATTATGCCTACTGCTTCTCTTTGCCAACTCTCTTAATATTTTATTTATATCCAGTTTTATCAAATTAAAAGTCCGACCCAAAGGCTCGTTGTGATCAAAGCACGCATAAGCACTTTGGCAGGTAGCTAAGAAACAATTTCCACTTAGTAGCCCCCACAGCATGTCACTCAAAATGATGCTTCAGTCCATTAGCTGCCTGTGTATTAAAAGATCTGATCCAGGTACTGGAGGGATGGCTCAGCAGTTAATCGTGCCTGCTGCTCTTGCAGAAGACCTGAGTTTGGTTCCCAGCACCCATGCTAGGCAGTTCACAGCCATTTGTTACTCCAGCTTCAGGGGATCCAACGCCCTCTTCTGGCCTCCGTGGGAACCTGCATACATATGGCAATATACACTCACACATATAAATAAATCTTCTTGTAAAGGTTAAATCCAAGTGGAGAGCCAGGCGTTGGCGGCGCACGCCTTTAATCCCAGCACTCGGGAGGCAGAGGTAGGTGGATCTCTGTGAGTTCGAGACCAGCCTGGTCTACAAGAGTGAGTTCCAGGACAGCCTCCAAAGCCACAGAGAAACACTGTCTCGAAAAACCTTAAAAAATAAAATAAAATAAAATCCAAGTAGAAATGGGTGAAGGAAATTGAAGACCCAGGACTCCAGACTCTCCAGGTTCCAGAGTCTCTGGAAATGTAACCATGAGGAAAATTCTGCTTGTGTAATTTCTTTAACCAAAGGAGAAAGAAACTGGCATCTTGGGAATGGTGAAAGGAGTGCATACTCCTTCTTAAGAGACAGATTTTAGAGGACTAGAAAGTCTTGTTCTTGCTAGATTTATTGTTTTATTTACATGGATGTGTGTGTGAGTGTGTTCACATATGTGTGCACAGGGGCACATGCCTAACCATGCACAGGCCAGAAGAGGGTGACAGATCCCTCAGAGCTAGAGTTACAGGCGTTTGTGGGACATTTGCTTATGAACTGGGTACTTGCATCCAAACTCCAGTCTGCACGAGTGCAATCACTCTTAACCGTGAGCTGCTTCTCCATCCCAGTAAGGGGTTTTTAAATGAATTTGTAAAATGAACCTGCATTGTGCCACCTCCTCTGGTCAGAGATTTTACCAAAACTTTTTATTGCTCTCTATTGCTTAATGTCATAGTAAAGTTACTAAGGTTAGTTGGGTGAAATTGTCCTGGCCTGGGCATATTGATTTGGGTGCCTTCACCCTGCCCTTCAAAGGTGATATTCAGGCCTTGAGAGATGATTCAGTGGTTACCAGTACAGGCTGTTCTTGCAGAGGATCCAGGATCAATTCTCATTACCCCCCATGGCAGTTCACAATTGTGTGTAAATCCAGTTCCAGGAATTCACGTGACCTCTACTGGCTTCCTCGGGCACTGCATGCATGTGGTACACATACATACATGCAGGCAAAAAAACATATTTCAATAAATAAATGTATTTCAATAAATAATAATAAACATATTTAAAGTGATTCAATACTAGAAAAGTACTAGATTGGTCATTTTGATGCATCTGTGTAGCCAAGAAAAGTTGCTACTGGCATAGAATTAAATATGCTGCCTATTCAGGCTTCCCTTGGCATCTTGGTGAATGTGGGGGTTGAATCCAACCCTTTGGATATGTGATGGAATACACCTTGCAGCAGTGAATCCTGGGCAAGAACAGCTACCTAGGAGGCTATGTGTTGTATACAGCACGACTGCCCTTCAGTGAGGTCTTTATCCATAGATGTAATCAACTACAGAAAAAAAAATGTGTCTGTACTGAACATAAACTGACATTTTCTAGCTGTGACCCCCCCAACAGCAATTCTTTGCACAATATTTACATCCATTAAATATTATAAGGAACCTGAGATTATTTAAATTACGCATGTGTGAGAGATGATATGCAAATATTACTACGACTAAAATACTTGTAGGGGCCAGTGAAATGGCTTAGCAGAGAGGGATGTCTGTGGCTAAGGCTGATGACCTTAGGTTGATCCCTGGGAGCCATGTGGCTCAGAGTGTGAACTGACTCCCCCAAGGTGTCCTCTTATGTCCACACATACACATATGTATGCACACACACACACACACACACACACACACACACACACACACACTACACAAATAAAGTATAATATAATACTTCTACTTTAAAGAAACCCTTAGGCACTGTCTTAGGGTTTTCTATTGCTGTGAAGAGACATCATGACCATGGCAACTCTTATAAGGAAAACATTTACTTAAGGCTGGCTTATAGTTTCAGAGGTTTAGTCCATTATCTTCATGGTGGTATGCAGGCAGACATGGGGCTGAAGAAGGTGTTGAAAG